TCCAATTTGTCTTTAATAGATGAAATGCAGTAGATCTTGCATTTATCCACTAGCACTACCTCCGTTGCTTTTCATTGCCCTTTTAAAAAAAAAAAAAAAAGCTTTAAAGGGAAAATGTTTGACAAATGGGGATGTTAATAGTTGGGTTCTGTTTTGTATTGCTGCCTGTGCTGTTGTACTATCCAGTACCTTTTCAAAGTGTGACTTGCTCTAGTGGGGCAGGTAGTTATTAACCGTAGCAAGTTACAGTGTGGACAGAGGAAAGAAGCTACCGCTGCTTGCTTTTTATCTTTGATAAGCTTAGTTATCTTCTGGTGTATTCTGAGGGATGCATTAAAGAATTTTTTTCCCCCTACTGGTTTTGATTAAAGGCAAAGCAGCAGATTAGTTGTCATACCTTTCTGGTGTTTTACTGATTATCCAGTTTCTTTGCACTTTTTGTGTTCAAGTAAGGCAGAAAGTATTGTGAGACTCTGCGGTTGTTGCCTCTTACCCTTGAACTTCGCTAGTGAATGACTAAGAGTAGAACCTTAAAATAGTGAAACAAGAGGGGCTTTTATTTCTATTGTTTTATTAGATGAAGTCATCTGTGAAAATTGTAACATCTTTTGTACGTCAGGTGCAGAAATACCCACTGAATTTATTATTATCACTGCTAATATATTCCAGGTAAATCAGCTTTCTATCTATGGAAATGAAAGCAAAACAAACTATGACTTTTGATTTACAGGCTGCTTCTGTAATAGGCTTTTGGCACAGATACAATTTGCATTTCATAAGCACAGTTGAGTTTGTTTCAGAATTAATGAGCAAGAACAGAATGTAACACACTGGGTTTTCTCTTGTGGTTGGGCCTAGTGTAAAACAATGAGAAACTCAAGGATCTTACATAAATTTAAATTTCTATCTTCACTGACAGTCAAGGGAAGAGAAGAGACAAAGCTACCAACTGAGATGGGATACTGACAGACTTTCTTAAATTACTCACAGTATGCAGTACCTAAAGCAATTTAATAATCCAGTATTTTCTTGGCATTGTTTAAATGGATTTAATTTTCATAGGCTAAACTGCAAGCGTAGGCATCCCAGAGTCGAGTTGATTTGTATCAGGTAAGAACAAAGGACATGTACTTTGTCCCTCCAAAATATTACCCAGCTCTTCCACAAAGTCTTCACGTATGCTCCACCTCCTGCTGCTGCTGTAAGTACAACTGTGCATACATCTCCCTTCCCACGCAGGAATTGGTACATGTCAACTCTTCATGAGTTGCTTCCTGTATTTAGGTTTGAAAAATGACGTCTGCATTGACCTCGCTTCAAACTAGAACTGAGTGCTGAAAGGACTTACTAACTTCATTTAGACCATATTGCTTCTGTGCAGATCCCTTAAGCATATTTTTTGGATTTCAGACCCCTTTTTCCTGTGATGCTACTTGCTCCCTAGCATATTGAGTGTTATTGTCTAAGTAAATTTGCACTAAATCAGTTTGGTTTTTGGTAACAACCCCATCTATTAGACTCTCTTGCTGAACTGCATGTGCTGCAATTTGTGTTCTCTGAATATAGCTTGCAGAATTGCATATTATTCCCTGTTTGTGGGTGTGTCTTCTTTAGAGATGTGATCAGCTGCTGATATTTATATACATATATACCAGATAAGCTAAGGAATTGTTTCTCAACAGCTTCAGTTTTCTCATGGTTGACTCTATCAGGAAATGAGGGTTTTTTTCCATGATTCTTTGCTAATGATAGTAAAAAACCAGCAAATGCCCATAACTGTGATTTCAGGTTGTTAACTGCTGAAGGTAATACTTTTATTTTGATTCCATTTACACCCACATTTAAACAATCAAGTTTAGTTTGTAGTGATACTTGATACATATATAGCTGATAGTTAGTGATCTCTCTTAAATTTGACATACAGAAGTAATCTGAGCCTGTCTGCTTAAAGTTTACTATTCAAACGCTCAACTCTGGGCTTAACTGCAAATCCTCCATCAAAAGCTGCATTAAGAACTTCATCGAGACAGCTTGCCATAACAAAAGTCAAATCTTGCCGTACATTCACTGCAATTTCTTCAAGATCTTTTTCATTTCGTCGAGGAATGATAATTCTCTTCAGCCCAGCTCGGTGTGCTGCCAGGACTTTGTCTTTAATTCCCCCAACCTAATAAGGAGAAGAAATATATATATAAAAATCCATGACACTAATCTAATAAAGTAATTATTGTAACAAATTATACCAGGAGCTAAATTTTAATGAAAGGTTCTCCCATCTCCCGTCATTTAGGAAAGCAATTAAAAATGCTGCAGTAGTTTTAGCTCATTATATGCTTAATGAGGGAAATACGTTAACATGCTGCAGTACCCTTTCTGTAGCAGTTAATAACAAAAGAGGGAAAAAAAATACAGGAGTGCAGGTACAGGAGTATCAATAGTGGAGAAGTCATTACTTCTCAAGAATTTATTATTTTTTTTTAAAGATGGCCTTAACTCAATTTTTTTTTTCATATGGCATGCTGACATCCTGCACCTACTTTGGAAGATTTTCAAGATGAAGGCAGTATTAGGGTTGGGGGGGGGGAATAGTCTTAAAGATGCAATGTCATGTGATAAATAACTTGAGTTGCACAACTGAAACTGCACAGAAAAGCAAACTGGTGCCCCAAACTGCAAAGATGGTTTTGTTCTAGAAAAGCAGGTGGCACTTCGCTAAGCCACCTGTTTGAGTTTGTAATGAGATGTAAAGAGGGGTTTAAATTTGTTTTTCCTTTACTCACAGCTGTAGCTTCTTCCCCTTGAACTTTTTTCTAATCCTATTTAAAGACCATCTTACAGAAGAAACTTGCAATTTTAGGATGCTTTAGAGGAACAAAAGCCTTGTATTGTAGCACAGAGGGCAAAATTTAGGCTACTGTAAAAGAAGGTAGTAGCGAACCATAAGGCCTCATGGTCATCAGCCTAGTCTGGACAACGCTACGTACCTACCACCATGACTTGCTTTCAGGGAGCAGATGCAGTTAATGGTGTGCCCATAGGAATTAAGTTACTAATAATAGTAAGATTCTAGACAACATTCAGAAAGAAGGTAAACCTGGTTTTGTATTTACAGATACCTAATTTTTACACCTACCTTAAACAGTAGGCAAAATTTGGTCAGTGGTGCAATAAAGGCAACTTATTTGGCAAGCTAAGCAAACCTGCGCCAGATCAGAGTTAGTGGAGTGGAGCTTTGAACACCAGCCCATCTCGGTAACTGCCATCAGAAGGCGATTCCAGAGATCCTTCTAGTCTGCTACCTTATCACATTATCCCTGCTTTACTCTCTACTGCTGAAACAAAACTATTTTCCAACTTCATCCTTCCTTTGTCCATCATTTGGTACGAGATGGCAACTCCCACATCTGCTTCATCACTTATGCCAGGCTCCATTTGACACTTTAAAACTGTGTCTGTTTGAAAGCTTTCCTTTGCCCTCATGCTTTGAAAAAGCTTTATGGGAACACCATTCAGCTGAACTATATACAAGGAACAAAATTTCAGAAGAATCTATAAATATATGCATAGAGGTGGTTTCAGGAGTTAACCTATATGCAATTACTGTCAGAGCTTTAAGAAACAACTTTTCAAAGAAACGAGATACTTCTGTAGTAATTGTTTGAGGAAGCACGTTCAGAAATGGCAATACATATTTTGAAACAGTCTTGAATGTTAAGATTTCTAGGTTTCCTTTCTAACTAGATATTTTAGTGTGCTTTCTGTGAAAACGGCAGCAAGGCTAGCTTTAACGTTAAGTGCAAAGCAGGCAGAGGAGTGGTACAGTACTACGGCAGGCTGGCTTCCACCAGCCTCCTACCACTGCACCAGGAGACTGGATCGCTGCTAAGGAATGATCCAGCACGACTTCGCTTTTGTAAATGGCTCTAAACAGATGTGATACCCAATAGAGAGAATTAATACAACTTAGCTCTTTTCTCAAATTATACTTACTGGAAGAACAAGGCCTCTTAGTGTAATTTCTCCTGTCATGGCTACATCTGAACACACCAGCCGCCCACTGAAGAGTGAAGCAAGACAGGTTACTATGGTAACACCAGCAGATGGTCCATCTTTTGTGACAGCTCCAGCTGGGAAGTGCAGATGGATGTCAGTGTTGTCAAGGAGATCAAAACTTCCAGAAGCTTAAGGAAAAAAAGAATGGTTTGAACATGAAAAATCTAAACCCATTTTGTTCCCAGTCTTTATTCTAAAAGCCCACCAGAGAACTAGAAGTCTTAGCACTATTTTTTTAACAGTAGGCTGAAAAAGCAACACTGTTTTGCAGAAGCCCTAGGAAAACAAGCAAAAGGAAAACCCAACAAGCTTTCCTACATCCAGATTCCTAGACAAAACCATAACAAGTTAAGGAGCTTGGTATTTGCATGTGTTGGAAATTCAGAGTTAATATAGAAACCAAGGAATTACTACGTAGAATTTTTACGGTTTTTATGTCCCAAACCATAAATGTCAACTTTCTGAGAACATACCACAAAATCAGCACTCCACAGAAAGCCAGTATTAACCAGTATTATAACATAAACCTCTCATTTACATCTTTTCACCTTACTTAACCTGTAGGACATAACAGGTAAATGCCTATACAGTTAATGCCAGCAGCATTTCATGCATTGATCCAATGTAGTTTTTTTACCTATCTAAACTTCTGTAAATAATGACAGATACTGGATGATTATTTGACAATTCAGCAGATGATCAAACCAGAAGGCACATTTCCAGAATTCTTGGGAGGTTCAGAGAAAACCCAAAAGAGTTAAAAGTTTCTTAGCCAAAGTCCTATTGTGCTGCAATTCAGCAGTTGCCATACAATCCCAACTAATTATCAAAATATTAAAACTTGGACTACAAAAAACCTACTCTTAACAGAATCTGTGTCTTAATTTTAGAGGAAAACTACAGACTTGCGTATATCCATATCACAAAAGTACTGGAGGAAAGCTTGAATGTAAAAATGAGTAAGAGGCAAGTGTCTGCCACAAGTAAGGAGAAGCATCTTGGCACAGAGGCTGTCCACAACTTTCTCGGTTGTTGCAGGGAGGGACTGGCCAGGATGGCACAATCTGCAGTGACAACTCCTGTTCTGCCTGGACTGACCCCTTTGCCAGGCTGCTGACACCTCAGCTTGGCAGAAATCTGAAAAAGGACTCCAGCAAAAAACTCAAGAGCTGATTTCATCTTCAGTGGAGCACAGATTGCTGGAAAAACCCTTCTCTGTTAAGGCAACACTTGATACATTTCCACAATGAGTATCTGTAACTTCCACTGTTACTCAGCAATGTTACAATCTGCTGAATTACTGAAAAATACCAAGTTTTTAGGACCTTTAATTTCCATGCAATATTAATGCTTCCTTTGTGTGCATCCCTGCACTAAGAGGCCAAGGGATGCACAGAATCTCTACGACGCAATAGAGCTATGCATTAGTTATCATTTTTTTTTCCCCAACCTACCATTGGTTAGCTGGTATCTCTTTGCATTGCTGCGCAACCAGCTAATTGCAAGATGTGCTGACTCCTTCATGACATCTCCAAGTTGACCAGTCAAAGTAAGCTGACCTTCTCCATCCATGCGACTAGCTTCTACAAACATGATCTCCCCCCCTAAGGGAGTCCAAGCCAAGCCTATGGCTACTCCTGGCTGACTTAAGCGTTCAGACACCTGAAGGAAAGAAAGTAACACAGGAAACGGTTTAGGAAACAGTCGTAACAAAACTAGTGCAAAACCCATTTGATAGTTGCCTTCAAAGCAACTGTACCGATTAAAACACAAAAGTTAAGCCCAAGTGTCTGCTATATATATATTTTTTTTAATGCAGCAGTAATTCTGCCTTATATGTAAACATTAATTACAGAATAGGAGCTGTATGTGGCTGCTTAGCCTAAAGCAATGGCAAACATCTGGGTACATCATTCTTGAAATCTTCCCCACCCCCAAAAGTTCAATGAGAATTTTTCTCTCCACTTCAGAAGACTTCAAGTATTTAGTCAATCCTGACTGAACGCTTATATGACTTAATCCATCCTGCCCTGACTCTGTTACTTACACAAAAAAGCCAGTTTTGCTCCCAAATGTTACCTAAAAGATGGTTTCACTACTGTTAGACAAGACACTGATTTTTTTGTTCATTGCAAACACTTATAAATAATTTGGAATAATGAAGACGCAAGTCTGCTAGCAGGCTAGATATGAAAGAGATGGGAAAGCTGACTGACTCCATTAGTAATTTCAAGTAGTTAAGCAAGCTCTACCCCACACAAGACTGATCTACTTATCTAAGTCTGCCTGTCCCCAGTTACTGAAGAGATCAATGGAGGTCACCGAATCCCAGTCTCCTCCTGTGTTGAGAAGGAAGGAGAGGCAGGATGTTTTCCATGAAAGTTCCAGGTTTGATTCCCCCCCCCTGCCCTTGCATGAGAGATTCTTTTAGAATATACAGAAAGTCCTTTTGTTTGCCTGAGCTTCAAGGAAATGAAGAAATCCTGATGAAAGATGTCACAGCTATTCAGCATGTTCTGAACTACTAAGTTATGTATTCATTGCAAGGCAGAAAAGAAACTGGATGAATTTTTACTGTGTCAGGCAGTGACTAGAGCGAAAGACAAATACTCCTTTGTAAAATAAAGCAATAGGCCCATTTGAAAATAATTTCATCTCTTACTGAAATGCAGAACTGAAAGTTCATTTGATTAATTCCTGAAAGGGATGAATCCCTCGTTAAACTGTTTAGAGAATTTAAAGAAATGTTTCATTTCTTGGATAGAAAACAAGTCGAAGGAGCCTCACAACAGAACCATAGTAAAATAATTCCAATTCTGAAATCTGGATTTCTAGTTATGTTAAAATTTCTCAAACTACTTTTGTCCCTTCTAAGCACATCTAACATTCCATTTTACACTGCATGCAAATCCAGAGCAATAGACCATTTTTTTTTCCTTTAGTATCAACTCATTCTGCTCTGTACAACTTGCCATAATCTCAATGCTTTCATTTTGCTTCCTTCCAAGAGTTAGCAGAGAAGTAAACTAATCAGACTTTGTACAGACCCTGAAAACGCAAAGCTCTGTAGACACGAAGTTGACCTGCTTTAACCATCAGCCCAGCTGCAAGACCAGAGCAGTCTCTATATGAGCCCGTACAGCCACGTACCTTAGATCCAGAGGCAGAAATACTTGTCTGGCCCTGCTGCGAGCTGGCTGCGTTAGAAATACTTTGATCTAGGAGCTCCAAAGGCAGTAAGTTATTAAGCATACTAGTCCCTTACTAAAATGCCCCTCCATAAGCCCACTGGAAATGCTGCTGCAAGTCCCCAAGTAGTACACAGGCTTAAAGTTTGTAAGTCGAACAGCAGCAGTGGATTACCTAAACAGAACAATATAGCGTTCCATGAGATTATCAGAACAAGAACTGTCTTTCTAAATAGGAGTCAAATGTTAACATTTCAGGATTAGGCTGAAATCTATCCCCATCATAAAAATAGAATCAAGACCATTCTTAGTGTTCAGTTTTCTCTTTCCTGTTTCACAAATAGAAAATGGCTTCCTTTATGCAGTAAGAGTGAACAACTATTTACTCTACAGTTGGTACCTCTCATTACTGGCCAAAAAGAGATGCACATTTAAAAAAAATAAGCTCATTTACAAACACACAAGTTGTGATACTTGTAGCTATAGGCAACTCAGATATATGACAAGAACAACTTGCTCGTGCAAGAGAACTGGTGAAGCACAAAAAAAAAAAAAAACAACCCAAAAACCAAAAAGCATTTGGAGTGCTATGAAATGAAATTAAACATACATGCTTGTTATAATTTCTGATTTTTGTATGATATGCTTTGCCAAATGCTAAACTGAACTGTCAAGAGCTGTCTTCTAAGTTTGATGACTTAAGATTTGAAATGTGGCCCTCGCTCAGGACCACTGTTTATTGGTTTGAAGGAAATTAGCACAATCCTGACTACAGCAAAACCATGCTGATACTGGAGCTCCTGGCACAAACAAGGCTCCAGCTATCAGGAGAGAGAAGCAGCAGAGGCCAGTGGGACTGGTGTTATGCTCCTGGATCTAGCGGACCGGTCAGTTAGTAACGATACTTCTCTCACAGTAAAGCAAAGGAAGCTGCACAGCCCAGCGCCTTGGTTCCATTGTGGCTCTCAGTTATCTACATATTTTGAACAACATCACACCATTTACTTTTATTACCATAATTTAGCTAAAAGGGCTGGGTTTTTTCTTTTTCATTTAAGAAAATTGTACATAATCGTGGTTCACTTTTATGATATCAAAATACCTCATCTTATCAAGCATTTTCATTTTGTTAATGTAAGTTTCTATATCTGTTCCCTGTATTTTATAAGGTACAGTGACTTAGGCTGATTAGCTTAGTAATTGCTTAGTAACTCAGGTTAACAAAATCAATTCATCCTGGTTAGACTGAAATCCAGCAGCATCGAAGCATTCTCCTTTACACTTTAGACAATCATGTATTTTGGCAGCCTGTCATGGTTTCAAACATTTCAGGTATAATGAACAAAAGCACCTGTCCATACCCTCCTCCCATCCCAAAGCAGACATCAATAAGGTCTGTTGTTTGAGTTTTTTGGTTTTCTTTTCCTTGTTTTGGACTGGATGTTAGCACTGGTTCTAACTGTTTATCAATTCAAAACAGTTTGCAGACTAATTCCACTGTTTGAGAGCTCAGGGGCAGAAAATAGCAAACATGACTAAAGACCAAAAAGACTCATCATTTATCTCACCTCAGTACAAACTCCCTCCTCTATCCTCAGACTAGGTAGGTTCCTCCTCCTCCTCTCACAAGTAAGTTGAGATCTGATAAGAGAAACTAGGTGTGTAGTAAGTGTAATCACCTTTCAACCATCATTCTTCCGCACTAACTGGTAGACTCAGAGGCCAGCAGTTACTCCAAGTTATCCTAAGCTTAAGGAAAAGAGACATCATCCACAAGTCTGCAATTTTGCAGTCACTTTGTAGGTTGACATATAGGCATAATTGACAAAAAACTATTAAGTCACTGATTCACAATGGGAAGATGAAAACCAGTCCTAAGTTACCTGCTGGCCGTTAGCATCTTTGTTATCCTTCCACAGGTTCTCCCCACCTGACTAGAAGCTTCTTCTTTTCTAGTCTACTCTTCTGATTCATTCCCAAACAAACCACTGCAGGCAAAATATGTAACAGCACCTTCCCTCTAAGGGAGGAGGACTTCCCAGAAATATCACAAGACTGGTATTTCTTAGATGACAATGCCTATCTAAACCTGTGCTTTGTACAGGTTTTGCTTCTAAAAGATAACCTAATTTGTTCCTTAATTAGAATTGTATGTCCCAGGAAATAGAGCTATTCTTTTATAGCATCTGTGCTTTCATTTCCTAGACTAGGTAACGTCATTAACCGAGAGCTTCCATCACTTCAATGTCACTCACATTGTGAGGATACAGACTAATTCTGATGGGCTTGCCTATGGTGCCAATAACGTTTTGTTAACTGAGCAGAATTAAGGGTTGAAAAAGCTAAAATCCAAGCCAAAAGAGAAACACTTCATTATAAACGCTCTTGATATCTTATAAACCCTGTTCTGCAAAAGCATGCTGTACTGAAACATTTAATTACATCTTTTACACTTTGAACTACTGTCAAGATTATTCTTAGAAAACTTTATTATGTGATTTATTCCAACATTTGTTCTGTGGGGTGACACGTAAGATTATTTATTTTTGATAACTGAATTAATCCTACAAGTATGAGCTGAGTAATCTGTCATGCCTTTCTGCTGGGGGACCTCTGTAGAAAATACACAAGCAATGCACTGAAAAGGTGAAAGATGAAGCAATCATTTTAAGCTGTTCCCCGAAGTACAACAGATCAATTAAGTCATATCATGTTTTCAGTTCTATTTGCTCAGTCTCATCCAAGTACTGACACGGTGGCTGCCTCCATTGTATAATTATAAATGGCAAAATGCAGGTCAAAGGTGAAGCTTTAAATGCTAGATATAGAAAGGAGACACACACATTGCAGACTACAAAACCAGAAAAAAACCCAGCAGCCAGTCTGAAACGCCTGTCATTGAGACAGGAGATATACTTTTCATTTGGAAGAATCTTGGGGGCACTTGAGAAGATTCAAAGGAATAATAAGTTAGTTGGGAAAATTCATTAAAACAGGAGTTATGTGGCTGAGCAATTTAAATTGAAAAAAAATCATAAAGTGCGTACGGAAAAATATGTACTCGTTACTAAGTACATCAAATAGTACATGAAAATAAATCCTGAGCTGCTCAGGGAATTGATGCTGTGTGGATTCATCTCTAGCTCCATTTATGCACTACTTAATTTGCCTGCTAAATATGGAAACATTTAAAAAACCTTTGATACACAGGTCAAAAGCTTCAGTCAGTCTTATTTCAGCTTATACAGGCCAGCAGATCCATGAGATGCTTATATGCGTATTCATGGCAACTGTTCATGCAAAAACCCCCAACCCAGCACTCATGTATTCGTAGGTTTGGAATTAAGAGCCACACTTTAAAAATTTTACTTGCACTACTTACTTCTGTAGAAAAATGACAAAATAGCAGAAATTACTTGCCAACACAGCCACATTACCAAATTCAAATGAATAATCAACTCCAGAAAAAGTTCAAAATGAGGCAGAACATCTAAGGAAAGTCACATATTAGCATATTGCTTGGCCTACAATCTAATTTTTAAAAAGTGTGGTAAGTTCACATTTATTTGAATTAATTCTCCTCTTGATTGGGAACTGGGAGTAGAGTTGCAAGTGACCAGAACTTCTGTAAAACTTTACAAAATTTGATTTATTTTTTAGCTTCTTTATGAAAGTAATAAAAACCGTTTCTAGAAATCAGAGTACTGGCTTGAATATTAAGTTCAATTTACTACAATGGCTTTATGCGCATCTGCAAATCAAGCACTAAAAAGCCAAATGATCCTGCAGAACTTTAGCTCCAAAGAACAGATGTCCAAAGCATATAACATACTTCAGAATAAAAATTCAGATAGAATGTTATTTCTCTGGAAAAAACCTCACATGCTATTTTTCAGCATTGTTTCTAAAAGTCAGGTAGTGAGAAAAAAAAAAGTACAAATTTCCATAGAAGTATTAAAAATGTCTAATGGCTACAGTAATTCAGAAGCTAAAGTATATCTACACTACCTTCTTAATTAAAATGGCCTTAAAATGTCTTGTGTGATTTTATTACTGGTCATAGCTGCTTCTGAGTGATGATAAGAAAGAACATAAGTTGCTTACAGTATAGTCATTTGCATAAAAAGCAATCTCTTCTAATTTCTGGAAGTAAAAAGAAATAAATCAGGACACAAGTGACCCATGTGAAAAAAAACTCAGCCAAGAGTGTCGTAAGATACTGGCCTCTTGATCACCTGATCTTCCTTGCCTCCCATTCCCCCCCAACATCCACTGCTACCGTCATCATCCTCTAACACAATCAATAGTGCTGTCTTCTTTCAAGCTGTTTCCTCATTTCTGTCTCTTCATTAAGAATCTCTTCCATGATAAAATCTTCATATCCACAAACCTCAGTTCAGGCTCATTCCTTAACAATCATTCATTTTCTCCTGTTTCCCCTGCATATCTTGTCCCCATTTTTGTCCTCCAAATCCCACTGGAGTCTGGTTCTCTCATCTAGGAGAGAAGCATTGCCACAGCAAAGTTCTTAGAAGTTTGAATTTTGTCTCTTCTTAAAGTTTTCCCTTCATTTCTATTTTCTCCATAACTTACTGGTTTACTTATCTTTTCTCCAGGATAAAGACAGAAAAATTTAGCGTTCCAACAGCAACTGTCTTCCTATCATAGTGTTATATATACTACTTACACTCGGTCAGTTCACCTGGACCTGAAGTAAAGCAGAGAATAACTGCAATGTAAATGGTGAAAAGAGAAACCCAAACTAACAAACTACTTTAACTGATGGCATTTTCATAGAATGTAGCAAAATACAGATGAGGGAAAGACAAAATTCTGGAATATGCCTACTGAGGAACAGAGCTGGTACTAAGAAGCTGGAGGTGACTCACTGATCATAAACCATTTTTAATAGCCAAGAGTCACATTAATCTAAAGAATGTCTGAGAGCTTCTGGTACAAATTGAAGTGGTTTTAATACCCAAAAATGCTGACTGGCTTTAAGGAGGTATGTGGGACAGTCCTTAACACAGTTGCCTCAGAGCCAGGATTCCTGGGTTCTACTTTTGGCGTCTTTCCCAAGACCACCAAACATCCCCCAAACAAAAGCAAAGTTGTTATAAACTGAAAAAACACCACCGCATTCTTAAGCACTGCTGCAGGCATCTAACAGAAAGTCATGCCATTAAGTTATTTACGTACCTGAATTAGAACAAAGCAAACCAAAAACTTCTTTAGGTGAAAAAACACTTGGTAGAACACAAAGAAACACAGTCCTGTTACTAATACATTTTTTTAAAAAGTTAATATTGTATAAACTCAGTCAATAGCAATAAAACAGACAACTAGTCAAACCAGACAAAAACAGCAGTCAAGCAGAAACAAACGAGGATGTTACCTCGGTTTCATACATGGGTGGCCCCAGGATATCTTTTAAAGCATGGAAATCAATTAAAATCGGCATTTCAGGTGGCAGAGCCAGGTCAGCTGTGTCACTGATGGATTCTGGTTTTGTATCTTCTGTGACATGCTCTTTGCAATCTAAAAGAATAAAATCTAATTTAGGATTTGTAGCAGGCAGTCTTGACACAGGAATTAAAAGAATCATGACGGAGAAAAATAAAATATTCAAATAAATGCTCAGAAAGTTCATGAAAGTGTGCTTAAACCATCTTTCACAAAAATCTTGTCAAATTAAAAATAATATGGCATCAAATTTAATCATTAAGCCTAAACATGTTCTAACTGTTCAGCAAAGATAGTATTAAATCTAGAGCAGCGACAGAGATGCAACTCACTTAAATGCATTTTAAACTAGGTCAAATAACAAAACGCATTAGGTTCATTTAGGACTTTGCACTTTTAATCAGATCTGTGCATAAAAACAGTATAGGAGATGATAATGTTCAATGTAGTGTAATATAGAATATGAAGCTGAATGTGGAAATACTGACAATTCAGTAACTACTGGTCTTTTTATGTATGTTTACAACTGTGCTCTCTATGGTTTCTTTCTGCAAGGACTTAAATACTTAATTTCTGACACTAATAATTAAGTTCTGTCAAATAAAGTAGGAGCATTTTGGCCAGATTTATATACACTGCTTTGCCACATGGCTGTGTTACTTATAGCTAGCTTGCATTACATTCAATAACATCTCATTTCACAGTATTCAACAAGGACAGTGTAACTTACTGCTCTGTGACCCTGCCTTCCTCTCTCCACACCCCAGTCCTCACACACATACCCTCGCCAGCTGACTGGGCGCAGGAGAAGCTGCTACACGTAGACCACATGGAAAACAGCTCCACTGCAAACCTAACTCATCCAGCCTTGGTGTGCTGCCTCCTTCCAGGCTGTTAGATGGAAGCACTACTCCAAGACAGCACAGCCCACCTTTATCGCAGCCAATGCAGCACATATTCTGACATTACACTTTTTACTTTGATTTTTGTCTCTTATGACTACTATGGCTTTACTCAATCACAGAATGATTTGGGTTGGAAGGGACCTTTAAAGATCATCTACTTCAACCCCCTCGCCACAGGCAGGGACACCTTTCACTAGATCAGGTTGCTTAATTCACAAAATTGACACCCCTCGTTTGTTCAACAGCCAGCTCAGCACACAGCACATACAGTCCTTGCTCAGTGGAAAAACCTCAAACAATTTCAGTATAACATCTATGACTTCTGTCTTGAAGTACTATGCTTACACTGGGCTCTGCTCTTTTCTGTGTTGGAATGAAATATTTCTAAGGTGTCTTGACCAATAACCACTAGCAGCAAAACATTTCTCAAAGATGAAGTTATTAGGCATTTTCAGAAATACCTACCGGTACGATATACTCTTCAGGAAAGGCTATAAAACCCAATTAGCCTGACACTTGAATGCAATATACTCAAGCATCATCAAGAAGGGACCACATAATTACAGCAACAGTTATGGATGCAAAAGTGTGCTCTTTCCTTCCTCCATTTATAGTATGATTGTATTTCTTACCTATACAATTGTTTCCTTAGCAGAATTTCCTTAAAATTCCTGTTTTCTGTACAAATGTGTTTTTAATACAAAAGTGAACTATAATGGGGACCATATAAATATCAAAGACGCAAAATTGTTTTAAATCAGACTATACATAGCTGGTCGTTTGCATGAATAAGCTCAAGAACTTAAACATCATTTGTACTAGGCCTACAATGCACATTTACTTAAGCGACTGTACACAGAAGGAGAATGTAAGCAGGGAGTCATTTCCCCACAGAATTTGATCCAGATGCAGAAGGCTCATTACCATTTTCTCAAGAGCCCTAAGCACTATTTTCGTGAAACATATATCAGAGAAATGAAAAATACTTGAACAATCCAGATGTTTTGAAGGTTCTGTGGCAGTTTTATGGCAGTGCCTCCTTGCCTTGAGGCTGCCATTAAGAAAAGCATTGTACACGTAACATATAGTAAAGATATTTCTTCCTACCCCAAAACCACAAGCCTAAAATACATTTAAAGCAATAGTCTGTATTATGCAGGAATGTATACTGAGCTTCAAGACTTCTGCACCATATTACCTGCTGTTGCTTCCTTTCTTCAAATTCTTCGTTACTTTCAATGAAGAAATTGTCTTCCTTTGCACATTAATGCATTCACAATAATTGAAGATTCAGGAATTTAAACAATTATAGAAAAACACAGTATTTAATATAACATTAGGAGGTGCTCTGTGCTGCACAAGTAATTCTCAGAATCAATAAAGAATGTAATTTAATTTTGTTGGAGTGCAATTCTCACTAATGCCTTCATACAGTACCAGCGAAAACATACTACATCACTATTACTGTAACACCAACTCAGCTTCCATTCAGGACTCAAATCTAATAGTTATTATTCAACAGCTACTAATCTTTCCATTGTACAACTCATCGCTTCATGCATAAATCCCATTCCTTCACTGTACACACTGCTTTAAGTCAGATGGCCCTCCTGTTGTTCCAGCATGTCTCTGTATTTTTGTTGAACTACTATTTCTGTACATAATAAATTCAAATACATAAATACTAGCAAGTCTAGGAAATATAACCCTGCACGCTATTCTTGCAACTCAGACTGCAATTTCAACACCATCGATCTTCAAAACTTGAGTAATATATGACAACTCCTATATCTTAAGACAAAACTGAGCTTTAAAACAACTGCTTTTGTTCTATACCAAGATTGTACTGCCTAACACAGACAATTTTCCATGTCTGCTTGCTCTCATTTCACCTAGTTCTACATTTACAGCTGAAGGAGACAGACTTCTCATAAACAAATCAGTAGTTAATTTTTGAGGCCACCTGCCCTATTAAAAGAATCAGAAACCCACTCTTTGAGTTTATATAATCTAATTAGTAGACCCCATTTTATAATCTGTAACAGTAACAAACTCCAGACTTTTTCTAAAAATATTAACCTAAATCCTGACATTATCTAATTTTCTATAAAAGCATACAGTGACGTTCCAAACTATAGTTACAAACACTATAATTTTTTCTTTGAAGGAAAAAATATCTTCTTTCATCACCTTTACAGAAGTGCTGACTATGAAGAATCTATAAAGGCACAATTAATTAAGATTTCCATTAATAACAACAAATACATGTTCCCTACCTATCCCAGAGGAACAGTCATAACCCATAATGCAAGTTAAATGACACATTTATCTAAAACAAGACAGTTCAATTCAAGCTTCCAGAAACAGAACTTTTGTTAAGGACAACAGATTAATCATCTTACAAGCAAAAAAGTCAAAGAAGTGTCCTTAACAGAGCTCCGCACTGTACTGGAGGAACCACCTGCTGATCTACTATTACATTACTGCTTAAACAAAAGCAGCATGGTACTGAGTTGTTGTAACATTTAAAAATTGGAAAAACAAACAAATCAAACCACTCCCCCCCCCCAAGCCCCCCAAAATATCAAAAAAACAACCAACAAAAGAAAATTATGTTTGTAAAATTTTCAGAGCAGAATCTGCAGCTACTCAGCAAAGATCACGACAGTGTTCCTCAGGAATATGCCTTTGCAAGTTCCCAAAACAACCCAAAATCTTGTATGTAAATACTGGATTTGTAAGAAAATGGACTCCTCAGAAAACATACTGACAATGAATGATACACAATTCCGGATTTAATCTAAAAAGGAATCCCATGGCACAAAGACAAAGAGTTAAGAATTTAAGACTGCCACTTACTTCTAGAAATATAATGGAAATGAGTGAATAGAAGAGACTAAAACTTCCTCAACATGTAGCAATTTCTCAGCTCCTCATAAAACATATTTAAATTAAGCAATAGTAACATGGAAGTCTTAACCCAAAGATTTGTAGTCACACTTACTGGTCAAGATAGAAGAATATAATAGAAACCTAAAATTTTTAAACAGCTTTTAACATAACGTATTCTGATTTGCTGAATTGCTATGAAGAGGTATAAGAAAGAACATAAGCATGAAAAAAAAAGTTTCAAGTTTGTTGGCAATTAAAGAAAAACCAGCATGCTCTTTTTTCTCAGCTGCTTTACTAGCAGATGCTTCAGCACGCAACAAGCAGACACAGAATTCTTTTAGTCCCTCCAAACTAATTAACTAACAAACTCCACAAAACTACATTTAAGTAGGAAAGGACGGGATTGCCCTTGTTGACAACAGACCACATTCAAAGCCAGGTATAACATCAAACTACATCATAAAAGTAACTTTCCATTGTCCAACTTAAATCTTATACACTACATACTCCAGCAGTGTCACTTCCAAAAGAATTTCTTTTGGAAAGGAACTCCTTCCTGGGACCCCAATCCTACTAACACTTGTATACTTGAATTTAATGCTATGTGCATTTTCCCCACAGGATCAGAACATTTCTCTTTTCACAAAATAATTATGTTCCATCAATTCTGATCTAGAATAACAACGCGTACTTGAGGCACTTGAACTTGAGGTTTTCATGCAAGAATATTTAGATAAATTAACACAGCGAAAAAAACGGTTTGTATATAAACCCAACTTTTCATAACATTTATGCCTCTTTGGTCTAAACCAGAAAAGACATTCCAAGCAATTTTTAGAAAGAACCACATATTACAGTCTGGAGAGCTGTTAAGTATACTAATGCCGGCACAGCTGAGCTCAAATTTGAGTGCCTACAGTCATACCACCATGAGATTTATGCTGATCAGATTTCATAAACTCATTTCCCAGTGCGATGGGAGATCCCATGCTGCTGGAAGTGCCAAGTTTTGGCTAGAACATAGAACATGTTGTTTTTTGCAAGAGCAGCGATGTTAGCTCAGCTGTATTAAGGCCCTTATACATACTAAAAACAAACAAATCCCCCCACAGTCATGCATAATAATGTTTTTAGAATAAAATGCATCATGCCCAAGTTGAGGCGGGGGGAGTAAAGACTACATGTTTCAGTTCACGTTGACCACTTCAGTTAAACTTGCATTTAAACTCAGAACCAAGTGTTGTCCACAAGGAATAGAACAAAATGGGTTATGGAAATATTTAAGTATTTTCAAAGCCTGAGTTTCAACATAGATAGAATACCTACTTTTAGTTATTAAATATTACCTTTCCTAAACCTCCTTTCAAGTCTGAATTAGACAAATAATTTTTCACTCTGGGTTTCAACTGTTGTATCATGATATGATGCCTAACTGCACAGTTGCTGCATTGTATTCTCAAGGCAGTTGCACTAAAATAGGAAGGAGAATTTAAAATATTTTTGTGACTCCTAGAATTTTTCTACTGTCAAAGACTAGATGAATGTCTCATAAATCTTAGATAGTGTTTCAGTAAAATATCAGATAGTGTTACTGTACACAAGAATAACTCCCCGGAGAGGTCTGAAAAATGACTCCATTTGCTTTTGCTGAAGTTCACTGTACAAATTCAGTGACTGATGCAAACTTAACACTCCTCCACTTGCCAACTTTGTCATAAAGCTCAGGAGTCAAAGGAGCAAGGAAGGCAATACAAAGCTGCCGGTGTATTTCAGTCATGCATTTTTGGAAAGTGCTAAACACGGCTTGACAGCATATCTCCTAGCATCAGTTCTGCTATGGCAGGTATACTCCCATTTTTAGAGCCTACTATCACACAGTATCAAAAGCATGATGTTTACAAAGCCTTGAAAACAGATGCTCCACTTGAAGTTAATAATCTGATTTAATCAATATAGCAACGGAAATTTTGTGGTTCTGCCACCTAATGTCTTTCAACTTTTATTACAAACCCACAAGCCAGAAGGTACTCAGCAGAATAAACATGATAGGCACCATGTCACTAATCTGATATGCTACAAATCATGTACGAATCATGCTTTAGCAAGTTAGAATCTATAAGGCAAGCCTGTGGTTTGCTCTCTCATATTCACAACTCCTGACATATGAATGCACTAACTGTGGAGACTCAATCCCACATCAGTAATGGACAAATGTGTAAAGAAAAGACGAATTATAGGTCTTTTTATACAGATAAAGAAAAAAATATCAAGAAATACATCTAAATAAAACTATCATGATACAACATCTTGATTAACTATTCTTCCAGAGTCACTCATTATATGAAATAAAAATTCATCATCACTATGCACAACTGCACAAACATCCATTAATCAACAGGGAAAAAAAATCCAAATAAATACATTTAAGCTACAAATCACATTATTTGTACCAACTTGTGAGTATTTGGGGATATTTCTGAGTTTTGTTTTAAATATTTCATTGTTTTTAACAGATTGAATGAAAATTGAACACAAATATTTTTAAAAAGTGTCCTACTCTCATACACTCCCAACAAGTGACATACTCTTCTAAAAATACAGTAGCATATAAGCACATTATTAGTACAAAATAAAACACATTTTGCAGACTGCACCATTCTATACATGTCTTCATAATACCAAAGTTTAACTACAGAGCCACCTGTCCCTTGGAGTCCCTTTTACTAATACAGCTTTTTCTTATGGACAGTTTCAACTCCAGAAGCACAAAGGCAAATCTTCACAGATAATTTCTTCTGGGCTTACTGTGTGTCAACCAAAACCACTAGCATTTTGCTATCTTTTGAAGCAGTTAGCTTGCTGTTTTCACTTAGCTTTGGAAAGTTGCAAGTCCAGTACTAATTTTAACAGTGTATAATTTGAACAGTGTAAATACCCAAGTTGCAAGTAAAGTGCTAATTTTAACACCGTAAATACCTCTCTCACTGGAGTGAGATGTCTAATACAGTTCCTTTTTGTTCTTTGCTTTAATAGTAAAGTCTTTCTTCTTACAGTATCAGGAGTTCTGCTCTGAACCTACTTTTTGTTTTTTATCAGAAGGCTTGAAGAACAGAATGAAACTTTTTTTTTATTCAGCCATCTCATTAGACCTTTTAAGCACATTTTAGGCACAGCTACCCTTCAGTGCAAAGAAATACTTTAGAAATACAACTCGTCAAAATTACTATCAAAAAAGTGACAGTAGAAAAGACACCTGATATTCCTTGATGCTAGTAAGCCTGGCCACCACAGCCTCCAGGCTCAGCGTTCTGGTTCAAGAGCAAGTTCAGGTATTGCAGAAGTACCAACAAAATCAGCATCTGACTTCCGAAAAATCCAGCACAGAGGAGAGACGGTAGACAAGATGCACATAATATAAATGGAAAGCATTAATAAATATGTCTTAAAAGCTCTTCTTTTTAATGTAGATGGGACAGTTTAAACTGCACAGTCATTCACACACGCACAGCCACTGCTATAGTGAGAGATCACTTTCTTTAAGCCAAACGTTCAGAGAAAACTGAGCTGAATCCACTTAAGCAAACACTGATTTGTAGATCAAATTCAGTCTTCTGATATTACAGTTTCCACAGACATTATGATGATCTTAGAAAACTCAACAAGGTAAAACAAATTTAATTTTCAGAAGGGAAATACTGAGTTAGGGAAAAAAGGCATGGTAAAGCTGAAAGATCGTCAATAAGCAGATTTCCAGTGACAAATTACAAAAGATTTTACTATGGGTTAAACTCTTCTTCATATACTCTTCTAATTAATACCACTGTTTGTACAAATATTAGTTATATTTCCTCCCCCAGGATTTACTCTCCGAAAGCAGGGAGCACCATTCAGACTTGTAAGCTGCCTTCTTCTAAGGAAGAGATAATAAGTCTGCTTATTTGTCCTCCTTTAAACCAGTCCAGAACTATTCTAGCTGTACAGATATTAAAACTTAAAGGTTTTTTTTCCCACATCGGCTTAATTGTGGAATATTTCACAACATCAGACCAACAGGAGTCTGTTTAGTATTTTAAGTTTGTGAGTATTCTGGAGGAAAAGCAAGCAGCCATTCTGTAGTTTTTGCTTTCTGTGTGCTGTTTTGCACACAGCTGTTGTCTGACAGACTGGCAGTATTTCTTGTCAGAAAGTGTCAACTGGACTCATTGCAGATTTTAAAAAACAAACAAACAAAATACCGACACCCTAGATGCTAGATTTTCTTGAAACTATCTACACTTTAGAAGTTCAACTTCAGGTTTGGATTCTGTCCTTTCACATTTCTCATCTACCTTGAACTGTGGGCTCCTGCCGGCAATGAGCACTCTGAAACCTTCAACGGAAAACTGCTGCATACAGCAAGATGCCCCATCAGCAACTGGCTGGAATAAAAGCACAACCATCTACGCTCTGCATGGTGTGTTTCACCAAACACAGTATGGATGTGGAACTTCATTTTTATTAAAGAGAACATTAATTTAGGGATAAAAAAGGGAGCAGTCACCAGTTGCACGTGGCATGGATTATGGGCCTGACTTCTTCCTTCCTCTCTTCGATTCTATTTCAAGATTAGAAAGAGGTCTGCCTTTACTGATGATGCAGTTACCTTAGTATTTTTGATACCTGAGAATTTTATGTTTAGTTTTCATTTGGTCTGTTGGATGACTGGGAATGATAAATCACTATTGTCCATGTACATGGGAAACAAGAACAGACTTAATTGAAGCTGACAAGTTACCAAAGCTCCAAGAGACTTAAAGTAAGTGCAGTCTTAAAAGCACACAAAAGAGCCCCTAAACCTTTCTAAATTTCAAAGCTCTTCAAGCGCACATTTATTTTAGACTACAACAAAATAACTGGATTGAGTTCTAAACTGGTAGAGCATGCACAGCACAGTTAAAGAACCTCTTTAAATACAATAATGAAAGCCATGCTTAGTATTTTATTAAAGAAAAAAAAAGTGGAAAATTTGTGTAAAAAAGCCTACGAAGACATAAAAACATACACAAATCATAATTGCATACCTAAGATATGAAACAGATCCATTGTACTTCTCAATTACCAACCTGGCAGGCTGAAATTACTCTACTTAGGTCCCACGCCATAATTCAGTGCTACTTGAACCATGCATAAGAAGAATGTCACTCTATTTGCAAAGCTTTTAAAAACAGAACCCTTAAAGAAGCATAAAAAAGGAGAAAAGGTTGATAAATCAGCTCCCTAGTGACTATGTTAGAAATTTTCTTTGTAATAAAACATGCAAAAGATACACACCTTCTCCTTCACCCACTTCAGCACGATCTGGCTTTGTTTCTTTGTGCTGTCCTTCTGCCACTTTCACTGCCACTGCTCTGCAAATAGCTCCCAGCTTCCGATCCAGAGAGCGGACTCCTGCCTCTCTGGTGTATCTAGCGTAGAGACAATTGTTTTACTGGTGGATGTTCTTTGCAAGAGACATTTCTTTTGAATGTAAACACACTTTCTTTTTAAAAATGCATCCAAATAAAATGAGATGTGAAAGGCAGTGAGACCTTGGGCTGCTCTAATAAACAGGAAAAGATGTCATGTGCTTTTATCAAAATAATTGTGGTTTGCTGATAAAGTTGTAAAGAACAACAAACTACTAAGTGGGAAGACAACATGACCAACACTTGGTATCACACCTTAATGAAATGTTAAACAATGCTCCAATAGCAGTGACCTCTTCTCAGATGCATAAAAATTAAAAGGAAGAACTATTTTAAAACTCAAAATATAGTTCACTGAAAGTTGAGGAACTGACTATGAAAGAATATTTTCTTTTAATCTACAAATTAAAAAGAAACACCAGACAGTAACACTCACTAAATGCCAAAATGCTGTTCCTGGTCATAAAATACTTCAATTCATTGAATACTGATACACTTTTTCCATTGAAAATAAGCTACTTTCAAGTCCAAAAGATGTTGTTATGATCACTATCTTTGCTCTCATGTCCAGCAAAAAAGTAGTTTAAAAAACCCCACATTTTAATTTTTTAACCTAATCCCAATTTTTAGACAAATGTGGCCCATCAAGTCACAAGAAACAAAACAGTAATTTCCTTTTTTTCTATGAAAATGACAGAAATAAAACTTCCTTCTTTAAAATAAAGGCTGTCTGCTGCCAAGACCACGGCTTCACACTGAACACTGCAGCAATACTAGCTTCAAGCATTTCTGTTTATTTATAGTGCTTTGCTAATTGTGCCAACACTTCTGATTGCAAGACACAGTCTGAGAACCAGATCAAGGAATTCTCCAGAGAAGGAAAGATTATTTGGTTTAGCCAGCAGAGCCAGACAGAACTCAGGAAAGAGCAATTCCATAAATTACCGATTGTTGAACTTCTGAAACTATTACGCACAACAGATCTTAAGAAACGTTTTGTGTTATCATTTTATAAATGATTTATTAGTTACCAGAAAAAGAAATTATTTAAACTTAAAGCAATGAATAACAGATTTACCTGGTAATTATGTCCAAAGTGGTTACTTGTGGAATCTGTATTTGCTGTGGAGTCAGGCCATGTTGTTCAAGCTGTTTAGGAATCAAGTGTCTATGTGCAATTTCAATTTTTTCTTCTTGTGTGTATCCTTCAAAAGAAAAAGCATATATTTACTAATCTTTTTGCTTATACACTACAATATAATCAAATTTCTTACAATTTATAACTGTACCTGATTGAACTTAACAAAAAAACCCCAATTTAAAAGTTGGTATGATACTTTGTGGTTATCCATAACTTCATGTGAACAACAGAATTTTAGTGGCTAAAAGATACCTTTCTTCATTGGAATCTTAAAAATATCAGCCAACAGCCATTTAGAAAACAAACACATCAATGGGTGAAAATAATGTTACAGAATGTATCGATGTTTCTCCATATATCTGGAACTGAATTTTCCTACATGCAATGCTAAATTTCTCTTTTAACACTTCTGGCCACTCAGTCTAGATTCCTGGCAGGCTTACCTTAAGGAACTGCTTCTCATTTCAGGAAAAAACCCTCAACATTGTTTAAGGACTTGCAATAGTCATTTTAATGAAAACACTGTAGTGTTACCTGGAACTTGAATAATTTCCATTCTGTCCAGCAGAGCAGGTGGGATAGTAGCTGTGGTGTTGGCTGTAGCTATAAAAAGGACTTGGGACAGATCAAAGGCTACATTTAAGTAGTGATCGGTGAAGCTGTGATTTTGTTCTGGATCCAAGACCTTAACAAGAGTGAACACAAAATTGATGCAGTTGCTCAGTTAGAAGTAAATAAAATATGGACATTTTTATTATCTCAAATGTGACTTTACATTCATAAAATATGTTATGAATACTACTAAAGCCTGACCCTCAATATCCTGCCTCGCTCTGATTACTCTGTAAATATATTTCACACCACATTCAAAAAAAAAAAAAAAGAGTTGTTTCCCCATTAGTTTATTTTACCCTTTTCTAAGACGGCTGCAGTATTTCTCCAATCATCAAGTACCTCTTGTAATATACCTCCACGACCTTTCACAGATGGTAGAGAGCCTTTCAAGAGAGATGGCCTTTCAGCACCCTTGGAAAAGCAGCCCATGTGGTCCCATGGACTTGTACGAGTAGAATTCTCTCAAGTAATCCCTCATCTCTGCTGGTAGCTCTTCTTTCTCTAAGCACACCTACCTGGGAGATCTCACTATGAAGACAAAGGGGAAGAACACAGATTTTCTCAGCCTTACCTGCTGTCACTAAATCACCTGCTCCACTCATTCTGTTTTGTCCAGCCTTTTACTACTAATGTAGTAGTAGAAGCTCTTCCTATTGCCCATGACATCCCATGCAATTCTTGACTCCAGCTGAGCTTTGACCTTCCTAACACAATCTTTGCATTTTTCCTTTTCTTCCCCAAATTTTGTGATTAAAAAATTGAGATAAAATTAAACAAGTACTGAAGAATAACAACACAACAGTCTGACCAACCTCAAAAATTTACTGCACAAGTAGAACTATGGCCTAAATAACAGCATTGTCTTCCTATTGCTTTTAGTACTACTTATATGCACTAATGCAACGCTTGCATATATTTAAGCTATTTGCACTGGGTGATAAATATTCTACGTAAGTAGATCATGAGTGTACTAAGGTGCTGTCTTGTAGGTTTTTTTAACAGTGCCAAAAATTGGAAGTTCATTGTATATAGCAATCTACTCTTGGCTTCTCTATCATCACCTATGAACCACCTTCATTCCACCCCCTCTTAAAAGTACTGCCACACTTTTCCTTCCTAAATGATGAATTATCAATGCTACACCGACACAAATATTCTCATGTTACAAATAATGGGACTTACGCATCTCTTGAGAAACAGCACACTGCTGTCAGAATAATTTATCTGCCTATACCCAAATGAATGCACCCTTTGTCTTAGCAACTTGAATTCTAGCCAAGAACAGCGTTGATAATTCAAAAAAACTGAATTTGAGCACTCCTTAGCTGGTTATGAAAGAAACAATTCTGAATTTTCAGTGCTCTTGAATTCTGTTTGGTGTTTGAAAAGTTAAAAATTCTTAGAACAGAAATGTTTTATGATCACAACAAACTAGCAAAATATTTTTTTTACAGAATGCCAGAAACACAGCAGAACTTTTTTTAAAAACAGAATAATTTCTGATTTTATTTTGAAGTACTGCACAGATTTAAAACTACTATTTGGAAATGTATTGCAACTGTAATAAAATACAAATTATACATTCCCTATAATAGTGAAATTTTAAAACATACTGAAGCATATGCCTAAATTCTAAAACTAAGGCTGGAACTCAGTGAATGTTATTGTTCATTGGCTATAAGCTATTCAAAAGCTTCTTTTCTTACCCTCTTCAGCAGGCAGCTGCTATCATTTACTCCCTTCTTTACTGATGAAGGCAAATCCTTGAAGTATCCTGACTAGCCAAGTACACCAATGCATAATTCAGTCAGAGTTATAGATGTCTCTTACCTCAACTAGTCCTACAATCTAGTCCTAAAACGTAGGGGGTCACAACAGTAGGCACTGTATCCAAGCACAGCATCTACAAACTGTCTTCAAAGAGAGTTGATCTACACCAAGTCTCTCATTCAAAGTCTACTCTAGTTTTTCAAAACTGATTTAAACAGCAAATCCTAATTGAACTTACCCTTTTTTTTATACTGCTAACACAGTATTTCCACAAAATTCCACCCTGTTAGATGAAGCATTTGCAACTACTTCCAAAAATGCTGAGAAACAATGTATTCTGATAGACCAAGTTGTGTTTTTATAAATTTATCTACACACATGTTTATCTCATTCTCCTTCTAGTTTTCAATTAGAAATTCTTACAAATCCTACTAAGTGCTAAGCTGGTGATTGTGTTACTATTTACAAAGATATACAAAATATCAATGTTGCACTCATGCGCAAACAATACTATCCACTAAAGGTAAAGGAAACTGATCAAAACCAACTTGTATTATATCTAAAAATGTGAATTATCTGAGATTTTCTACAAGGGCTAGAGTTTCTCTGGACTGCTAATTCTTTGTCATGGTAACTATTTCTTAGAATAAGACATAAAACAATATCATGCCTCTGCATTTAAAACAGATTTTCCAAAGCAAATAGAACTGTTCTTCAGCTAGGTATCCGTGCTAAAGTTCAAGTTCAAAAGTTTTTGATGATATTCAACTAATTAAAAAATATTAAGTACAAAAAGAACATTCAGTGAACAAAACATCTTGGTTAATTTATGGCTGACAGCTCACATGCGTACAAAGGCTTCTTTGTACCAGTTTTTTATTACCACAAAATCCAGAATAAGTTCCATGAACATTTAATTGCCTGTGTATGCTCCTAGTCTCGTTTCCCTGCATACAAATCTTCACTATCAGGCTCTTGGATCCATTTCTGTTTTCCTCTGTTTTAAACAGAGGTCATCTAAATTTAGACTAAAACATTCTCTTTTTGATGAACAGTAACTGGAAATAGGAAGACATTCTGTTTTGCTTAAGCAATGGCTCTGCAGAAGCACTAGAACTAAACACATATCCAGCAATTATAAAACATTAAGCTTTGCTTCCAAGCTTACAGGGTATGGCAATTTTCTTCTTGAATATATCCCTTTGTAGACAGTCAGTGAGAATTTAACACACCTACACATTAAGGAAAAAAGGAGGTGCCTTTTATACTTAATGATAGCACTTACCACACAAGAAGCAGCAGTCTGAAAAACAAATGTGCCAGTTAGGTGACCACTCTCCTACATAATAGCTACCTTTGCTCATTCCAGATGGACATCCCAACAATGTAAACCACAAAAAGCAAATGAAAATTAAGCTGTTATGTCCAGGCATGAGCTCTCCATTAGAAGAGGTAAAGCACCTGCTTCAGGATGTTTAGACAGCAGTAGAGGGATATACAGATCTCATATGGGAGCAGCCCAGACATGGTTAATAGAGCAATTACTTCTCCAGATGCAACTAATGGTCAATTAGCAATGACTTACATAAAGATTGCAGCTCAAGCAGACAGTTGGAAGCTAACCCGATGAGCCTCAGCTGGAATAATCCATGGCAGGGGCTGAGTTGAGTATCACTGAGAATGTGGTTTTAAAATACGGAAAACAGAAGCATCCCAAAGCAGCAAAGTATCAAAAATTCAAACACAAATAATTAAAAAATAAATTAATTTTGTTTGCCCTCATACACTTGACATAATAGAAGAACAGAAACGCTAATTCTCTACTAAGGGAATGAAAAATAAATTAAAAGAAACAGCAAAGCTTGAATAAAATTAACAATATTAATGTACAGATCTGGATTCATGATGGGAACACTTCCAAAAAAAGTCAAACTCAGATTTCCAAGAAATGCCAAATCATTGCTTCATTACTGATTTTGACTGCCTAGCAAACAGTCAGCTAGCTAACAAAATTTGATTTCCAGGTATTTTTCATCCATGCATTGACTAGATTTAGGCCAGCTTAGTTCAACATCTAAAGGAGAAATGACAGAAGAAATACCTGAGCAATACCTCAGAAACAGAGCTCATTAACAGCAAAGAGTAAATAAAATCCTGCATGGGAAAAGTACAAAGAAAATGTGTTTGAATATTTGTTACACTCACTTGTTTTCCTTGCACTTACAGGCTTTTCCTGCACCCTAGAAATGTGGAGCACACACTTAAGAAATACACAGGTAAAGGACCATAACTGTCATTTTTGAAAGCTAAAAAAGTGAAGCCATGATACTTTCGAGCACATTTAAATTATTACTAGGTTTGTGTTAACATGCAAAGATCAAAACAGAGCTCTCAAACCATAACCTGTTCATATGTTGATTTTCGAAGAACTAGTTGGCCTTGTCAAAACAGTAATTTCACAGTATCTAGCAAGAAGAAAATAATGACGTTTGTAGAACATCAATTGACATTTCATTTGCAGAAAGTCATACAGCATAGATGAGCTCATGACACCTTAATTTAAGTAGCATTTTTCATATTCAAATTTCTGTATTAAGCACTGTCAGTCAAAGACAGTCATTAGCATTACTCTGTAGGCAAGTATTACCAGAACCATTCATTCTCACCTACAACCGCCCAGCTACGGAAGTTACTGCATCTTAAGTCTGACAACTGAGATGCTTCTAGGATTATGCCCTAAATCATTACAGTGAAAGTGAGCCAGGCTAACTTAAAAAATTCGGATAACTGTCTTTTACTAACCCAACTCCTTTTGACTGAAACATGTAAATAACAATCAAAGAAGCAGTTCAGCTGAAACAGTGATAGGATGGTAGCCCCTACAGCCAGAAAGAACATAAAAGAGAGGTAGACAGTGTAAAAATACAGCAGTATAAGGAAATTCTAAATGTACACAATACCAAAACCATTAAGTGTAGTAGTGGTACATCTGCTCTGGACAGCCTCAAGCATTTCAGCCTAGCCCAGCCTTGCTGTGCCACTACCTTCCTCATTCCCTCCTTTCCTCATCATCAGTGCTAGCACAGGAAGATGCACACAGCCTTCTGCACTAAGATGCTAGGGAAGGGCAATGCTCTTTGTCTCTTCCCCATACCTGAGGAGATGCTCCTTCCTTTCTCCAGCAAACTGCTAGAATAAAACCACTGAATATGAAAGTCAGTGGAAGAAGGAATTGTACTGGGATAATATCATGTATCATACTCCAGGGAAAAAGGCGGCAGAAGGAAGGTTCTGGCAACTCATTACTGCTCTCTGCTACAGACGACTCTGATAC